TGTCCCTCTCTGTCCCTCTCTGTCCCTCTCTGTCCCTCTCTGTCCCTCCCTGTCCCTCCCTCTCTCTCTCTCTCTCCCTCTCTCTCTCTCTCTCCAGCGCTCGCTCACTGTCGGTCCGAACAAAAAAGAAGCACTGTGCCTTATTAGGTTGACCCTTTCCGAAAAACTACCCGAGGGGGAAGACCTTAGATTTGACCCTTTTTGGCTTTTTTGATGGTGGTTTTAACAAGGATTTAATATAGTTTGGAACCCATGCCTTTTCCATGTTGTCTCCTTTCCAAGATCCATTCTTGCTGTTTTGTGGCCCCCTAATACTAAGCAGGAGTCTGTGCCAATGCTCCTAATTAATTTTGCTTTCCTGATTGCGCTATCCATTGCTCTTTGCAGCGATGTGTTTTCATTCATTGGGTGCATCAACAGTTGGTCTAGGAAACCAACAAGAGGGGGAAGACCTTCGATTTGACCCTTTTTAGCTTTTTTGATGGTCGTTTTATAAAGGATTTTATATAGATTTGGAACCCATGCCTTTTCCATGTTGCCTCCTTTCCAAGATCCATTCTTGCTGTTTTGTGGCCCCCTAATACTAAGCAGGAGTCTGTGCCAATGTTCCTAATTAATTTTGCTTTCCTGATTGCGCTATCCATTGCTCTTTGCAGCGATGTGTTTTCATTCATTGGGTGCATCAACAGTTGGTCTAGGAAACCAACAAGAGGGGGAAGACCTTCGATTTGACCCTTTGTTGTTTTTTTGATGGTCGTTTTAACAAGGATTTTATATAATTAATTAGATTGGGAACCCAGGGATTTTCTTTCGAGACCCTACTTTTTATTAGGGCGAACAGAACATTGCCCATTTGGGGGTACAACAGGTGCCCCTCAATAATAAACACCCCCTATTAGTAAAAACACCCCAGGGTTTTTATTAATAGGTGGGGGGGGGCCGTTTATTATTAGGGAGAGGGGATTATTCTTTTCATTGTCTCGTCGCGCTTGCTTGGGTTCAAGTGTTTTTTTTTCACCGCAGTTCTTTTTCATGAGGATGCGTTTGTTTGGACAAGACACACGATAGAGGCCAATGAATTCACTAGTGGTGTGCCCGCATGGGCCAAAAACATGGTCTGGGAATCTTAGCAAAAGCACATGTGAACAACAGTTTAGGTTCTTCAGACACCACCTTTTCGAACGATTGCACACCCCACCCATGATGATGGTGATGAAGATCATGTTCGGGTGGCAGGTTTGCAAGTGTTTTCGAACCCCACCCCACCCATGATTGTGATGAAGACCATGATCGCGTGCAGGTGCAGGTCTGCAAGTAGTTTCGAACGTTAGCACACCCCAGCACACCCCACCCCGTTTGTGTCGCCAGTGATCGGCAAAAAGGTAGGCGTCATAGACGCAAGTGATCGGCAAACGTGTGTCGCAAGTGACAGTGACAGTGAATGCTGTCGCGCGGGAATGGATCGGAGAGATGGGATAAGCTGAGGCCCCACCGGACAACGTGATGTATTGAGAATAGTGTGACCGTCACCCTAAATGGGACCATCTGCTTGAAAAGCAGAACTGGGCGCCTCCCTCAGGTTTTATCACTTTCAGCCACACACACCCTGGAATCGAATATGATATGAGCGGATATATATGAGTACCAAACAACAGTGATATGATATGATGTGATGCTTCCTGAAACTTTACGGACTTCCCAATCCTCGGACGCTCTCCTGACAGTCCATCCTGCAGCGCATCACCAAAATGTCCAAAACCCAGCGACTGCAAAAGCTGCTTTTCGTGGACTGACTCTACGGGTGGTGTGGGAGTCATGCATGCGTTATTTTGTGCATCCTCCAGCCACCCACAAAGCAAGCTCGCTCGATGGGCTCATCGATCTTGATTTCTTGGATGAAAGCTGTCTCCCCGGAAAAATCCTGTGGCAATCGCATAGAGGCCTAAATCTGAATCTGTCAGGCAGAGAAGCTCCAATCATTCATTGGAAGTCACACAACGATCTAACTTGCAAGGTGGACCAACTGACAAGTTAACTGAAAGAGGTGGCCATGTGGCCGCGTCTGATGCAAAACCCTTTGCCCGAGAGCAAACGTTTATATTGTTGCATAAACGAACTCCCAACCTTTCCTCCACATCCCCCCCCCGACTCCCCCTTTAAGAAAGGAGCCGACCATAATTGAAGAATGGTACTCCAAATCGTTGGGATCCTGCATCCCACTCGTGGTTTTTTGGCACCAATGTCCCCCAAGAGTCATGGACTACCGGAGCATTGTCGACCATTCGTTTTGGCGGAGCATGGTCCGTTGGGACGCACCCAGGGTACGGAGTTCCAACCGGGTTCTGAGCGGGTACCGATGTGATCCGTGGACCATCGTGGACCTCTCCGCGTGGTTTATATCGTATAAGGGCCGCGTGGGACGTAGGATGGTGGTTGCGTTTGGAAGAATTCGTCTCGGATCGTTGTTCCGTTTGGAAGAATTCGTTTGTCAATGTGTTGAACACCGTTTGACAGGCTGTCCCAGGCAGCCTTTCTGAACGATGCTGATCCGATTCCTTGGTTCCATTTCGTTCCCAACAAAGTAATGTTGACATGCCCAGTCCAGGTAAGAGGGTGGTGAATGAGGAGTTCTGGGATCAACAATTGGCACGTGCCTTGATCCTTTGGTCCAATCTACTGGCGAGCCTTTTCATGCTGCTCGAAGCGGTGGTCTCCAACTCCGCGGTTCATTGGAGCCTTCCATCGAAGCGCGTCGCTGGGCTGAAGCACAGAAGGCTGATACTAAAGGCAGGTGCGAAGGCAGATACGAAGTGAGAGAGTTGCGTTGCGACCATGGAATCCATGGAAAAAAAAGTCATGAACTCACTCGTTTGGCTTCAGATCTCCATCCAAGGCAGTCTTCTGGGTGATGATTTTGCTCTCTCAAGTGCACGCTTTCGGTCTAGCCTTACCCCATGTGCCGCTCATGGTCATGTGGGGCAAGCTCACACCGAAGAGTGAGATGCTCGCAGATATGCTCACAGAACGTTCCAGCAGTTCATCATGGTTTATCGATCGACCTAACTTTTGCACGTTGGAACAAAACACATTACTGTATATATTTGAATACACTGATTACTATGTATGTTCCTGCTTGCGCCGGTGTTGAAAATGACTGACTACATGTGCAGATTCGAGGCTGAGGGAACTGGCCATTTCTATGGGTAGATGGGGTGGTGTTGGAGTGCTGACGTTGAAAACAGGAGTCTCAAAGTGACCACTCAGACCATCCACCCGAGGGAGACGACCTTAAACCATTCCGACGTGGAAGTGCTGGGATCGGTTCCTTGCATTTCCGGATCATATTTTGTGCCATGTCAAGTTGGCCAAGTGAGGATGTCCTTCTGGATGATTCTGACGCAGTGTGCACGCCAGGGAGGGCTCCTAGCAGGCCCGGCGGTCTTCGCGCTGGTCAGCGTCATTGTGAAACAGGGCCAGCCTGTCGCGCCAGCCTCATTGCTGGCCTGGGTGATTTTCGCACAAGTTGTCTTCGGATTCTTGATGTCGTTCCAACGGTGTTGGTGTTGCTTGTGTGTTCTATCGTGGATTGAGAGTAGAGTAGATGGCATCTGATGGCACACCCCCCCAAGTTTGGTGATTCCTATGACATAACATGGACCCCCATCCAAAAGTCATCCTGTGGTTTGTGCCATCACTGGATGGATGGAGTTAGGTGAAACATCATGTTGGATCGAACCAACCAACCCACATGTTGGAGTTGCGGAACACCCTCGGGATGGTTTGTTGACTCTAGAAACCAATCACTACAGTATAGCTATATTATATAACATTATATAACAGCTATACGTTAGTTGGCTTCTTCGCTCCGAGGACTCTTCGGGGGATCTGAAAAAAAGCTCGGGTCTGGGTGGATGGCTCTGTGTTTCAATCAACGACCCACACTTGGGGGAACCAGGTCGAACCAGGCCAGAGCTGCAGGTGGACCACGAGATTGGACCAAACACCATCGCGGTATGTCTTTGGGTTCACCGAGGTATTTGGAGGCCCAGACCCCCATGAAGTTATAAACGTATATGCCATCATCGTTGCCATCATCTTCCAAAGATCCCATCAATAAATCCAAGCCAGAAAGTGCCAGCATCGTGGTCCGAGGACTGTCCTCTATCTTGCTGAACTCCATGGTCATACCTCCAGTGCTGCCGGATCCGGACACTCCGGACGCCCCGGAGGCCCCGCGGAGCCCTGGACGTGGCACGTGCGAGCTGTCGGTGGACGCGCTGGAGCTGGACCAGCGCCGGGAGGCGAGGAGAAACCGACGGCACCGCCGATGCGGCGGGGGGGGGGCAAAGGGTGAAAACCGTCGGGGTTTGGCTGTTGAAGATGGTGAAGACAACTCTTGCTCTATGGCCTGGTGGGGGAACGTTGTTTGTTCATTGGCATAAATTGGCATTCGGTCTATATCGGTTCATTTACACTGAAAAGGATTGAGGTTTGAGGATTTTTGATTGGTTGTTGGTTGTTGGCAACCCTGTCTTTTAGTTGGCATGTGTACTGTAAGGCTTTGACTGGCGTTGATTTTTGCAGGGCTAGTCAAGTGACAAGTGACCTCCCAAGTCATTCTGGAGAAGTACAGATTGTGTGAGTTTGCCAGAAGAATGAGGTACAGTTAAAATGCAACGATATCATTTTTGTCTATGCACAACAAGCCGCTCAAGTGTTTGCTTATGGATGTCCAAGTCAATACCTTGAACGTGAATGTGAATGTACAACCCGAAAGATTCCTTGTGCTCTTTTCTGCTTTTGGTCAGTCTTTTGCCCAAAGGGGAGAACACCTGCCCCTTTTCGGACAAAACAGCACAGGGGACGGTGAGCTGTCATGTCAACTCACAAGTGCCGGTCATGCAATTCACGAGGCAAGGCTGCATGCAGTGTCAACTAGATTCAACTGTACCTTGGACTCTTCCAAGAACCAACATAATTTGGTGCAATCAATAAGACGTAAATTCGACGTATGGTGCTGCACATGTTGCTTTGAGTCAAGTCCCATTTCACCGCACAGGTGGTGCGGGGCATGGTCTTCTACGCCTTTGAGCGGTATTTCGTCACCGCCTCCATCGAGGTCAGTACCATCATGCTTCTCGAGGACCACCTGGGAACGGCGGAACGATGCAGACAGTACAAGAGTACAATTCCTGTCCCTATGGCATCCACCTCTTCTTGGGGCCCCCCAAAAGGGGAATCTCAAAGTAATGATATGATCATATATGGTCACTACAGTAGCTCCAGCCGTCCCAGTGGGGCTCATTGAGGCTGCTTGAAAAGGAGACAAATTGAGGGTATATGCCTAGAACTCTTCCACCAGACCACTCCGAGAGCAGACTTCATCCGCTTGCTTCCACCGTTGAGGTCTCCTATGGCTGGTCAGTGGAGCTGAGCGGGACGATCTTCACCGTGGTGTCCTTGAGCAGTTTGGCCTTCTCAGGCCTCGCCTCGGCGGTGATCTCCCGCCAGGCGCCGGGGGAGGGGGTGAGCAAATGGGATAAACATGTTGAAAGACTTGGGGTGCGAGGACAATCATTACCCTGGTTAAGTCGAAGACATATATGATGCCGATGAAATCAACCAGCAGTGGGTCCCCTTGTTCGAACAGCATGCGGTTTGGACAGCAGTGGGTCCCCTTGGTAACCATCCAAACGATCTCCGGTGGCTTCGGAGTTCTCGAAGCGAACGATCGAAATGGTCATCGGCTGAGTCGTATCAGTCGATCGACTTACGAAGACGGGTCCTAGCCCGAAGCCAAGCATGAAGCCAAGCATGTTGGATCAGTCAGATCGTGAAGCCCGAAGGTATTCCATGTCATGGTCATGGTCGGCTCTGAGTCAGATGGTGAAGCCTGTGTTCTTTCTTTGGGTGCTTGTATTTCCCCAGACACGACCTGTCTAGGACCGGCACAATATTTATACCGTTATATATATATAATAATGTTATATATTATTAATATCCAATCAGTCGGGGTTGTTGAAAAGGGGGTCAAGGCATTATGCATATCCACTGCCACTCCCATAAAATCCGGGATAGGATAGTTTTTAACCTTCAAACCCTGGCCCACCTGGCCGTGCTGAACAGGACGGTGGGCCGTTTGCCTGCTGTGTGAGCCAGGTCTTGACCGAGTCGACGGTCTTCTTGGCCTGCAACGTGGTGGCGCTGGCGGGCGCCCCTTGGGCCGCAGAAGCTGAGCCAGGAGTCACAAAGGAATGCTTTTTGGTCCCTAATTAAGTGAGTGGATGTGACAGGGGCACCCCTCCCTATCCTCCAAGTTCGGCACCCCATCTTATGACTCCTGGAAGTAAGTTTTGTTGTTTCCAGTGTCACAACTGTTCCTGGTGTGTTCCCACTTCAAAAGAGCTGCTTGGGTGTGAGCTTCCCACGGCTTCCCCATCCGGAAAGCATGCTTTCGAAGTGGAAGTTTGTGAGGGTGGAAAGCCAAGGAAGTATTTCAATATGTTCAATCAGCGGAGTGACCACATGACCAAAAAAAAACCGCCCTGGGTCAAGGGGGAGCTGGGTCAAGGGGCCAGAAGAAGGTTTTGCACATCGCATTTCAGATGCTTTACAGGACTGCTTGGCTTGTTTCAACAGATTTATAGATTTCATGATTAGCCTGAGGCATCCTGAGGCCCTGCAGTATGACAAATTTCCACTCCTGTTGATGCGAGTTCTTCACCACTGTCAGTGTTTTTCTTGTTTTTCAGGTGATTTTCCTTTTTGACTTCGGCACCGGTGCTTTCGGCCTCCTTTTGGCCGATGGCTTGGTCTACGGCTGCGCCAGCGTGTCCAATGGCATCGCCGAGGGATGGGGTTCCCGTGCAGCCAAGGAGGGCACGGACTTCAGCAACGAGGCGCAGCATGTGAGTCCGTATGGTGGTGTTTTGTTGCCCATAAAGTTTGGTAACTTAATTGCTGGCCGTACCTGCAAATTTCTTTGTTTGGCACAGGAGCTATGCGGGTGGTAGTTTGTCACCCTTTTTGTGCCCAAAAACACACCCGAAAAAGAACGATGCATGGCTCATGGCTTCCATGGCTTCAACAGAAAAAACAAGTTGAAAGGCAAGCCTCGCCTCGCCTGAACCTCGCCTCGGCCTGAAGCGTCCAGGTTTACCGGACTTGGAATACGTCTTTGGCCTGTGCCGCTCGTTTCCTGGCGCCAGTGGTGGCCCGGACCATCCTGGACTTTGGGGGGCGAAACCTCTACGCCGCCCTGCAGCTGGCGATGGTGGCTTTGAGCACCAGCACGGCGACTTGCCGCAAGAAAACGGTGCTTCCTTCACTTAAAATAACACAACCGCGCACATTTGACACAAATGCAAACTATAAGAGATCAAAGGCATTGAAAAGCTGGTTCTCCAACCCAGCAAAGGCCTTTGAAAAGGTGTGAACCCAGTCCATGGCCAGTGGTGTTCTCCCTAACCGACAGACCAACCAAGAGGGAAGACATTTGGGTTGCTTGCATGAGAACTCGTCTGGAATTTAGATCCATTCTGCTGATGATCATTGGCACTGTTCGATGTGAAAGCCCGTTATACCGTTATACGACTTGGACCAGGTCCTTCTGAAGTGTTTTGAGAAAACCACTCAACAACTGGCCCAACAGAATATGAGAAGTTCATGGTGTCCTTTTCTCGGGATAGCTGCTAACCTAGCAGCTCGTCACTGTCTACCCCTTCGACTCCCGGCCGCTCCGACTGTCGTCTGGACACCTGGGGCTGAGGTCTATAAGGCGGTCTCCATGATTTGGAACCTAAGCCGTGAAGTCCACAGCTTCAAGAATGGCAAGGAGGTGTGAACTGCACAGGGCGTTTGGAGGCCTGGCCTCAGCGGCTTCCGGCGACCGGTTCACCAGGCGTCCTGTCGCAGCACAGCCACCGATCACACGCACCACACGCACCGAGAGGCCTTTGAGGCTCGGTGTGTAGAGTTTCGCTGCGGAGACGATGAGGAGAGATGGAGCAAGGATGAGCAAAGTGCATGCAGCACGTTTGCAGTGTATGGCCTTAAAAGGCTTGGAGTCTTTCGAAAGGCCAAGCTCTACATGTTTCACAGAGTTCGAAGGCTTGCAAAAGCTTCCATCCTGGCAAGTGCCTCATCAAGCTGCCCAAGCGAGAGGCTGTCAGGAGCTGGCGGGCTCCAAGCCACTTGCTGCGCGCCATGTGTGTCCTGGTTTGCCTGATCAATACCTGGTCATGAAGCTGGAGGGTGTGAAGGGGCCAGAGCAAGGTCCAAACTTGGGGCAGCGACGTCATGTGCAAACCGCAACAGATGTCACCGCAACAGCTCGTCAAGAGAATGTCGACAAAGAGGACATGGTGGTGTCGTTTTCTTCCAATCTCCTTGCTTCATGATGCTTCATGCAGATCCACCTTCAAAAGCGGATGATCTCCGTTATTCTTCTTTGGCCCGGCTTGAAATGCCAAAAGCGCGGCCGGGTTTCCGTTCGGCCCACTTGGACCTGTGCGGGTTGAAAAAGGAATGACCGGTTCGGTTCGGCTGAAAACCACGCATCTCAGGGGGATTGGGGGATTTCGTTATGGGGGATTTCCATCACGGAGTGTCCATCTCAAAATGTTTTAAGCGTTATCCAACAGAGGTTGAAAGACCCTATAGCCTATCCCAGTTGGGTACCCCAGGTTACGGTCCTATGGTCCCGGTCACTGGCTACCTCTCTTGGATGGGAGGGCGATGGTTCAAACTTGGAGCGACATCGCCAAACAGCACGACATCGCCAGTTGAGACACATGAGCGCTCTTCTTCTCGGGCTGAGAGGGTCGGGGTGCGCGCTGTTTTTCGTGGCCCCACTGTGCCGGAGGGCAGTGTTTGCCTGGCACGTCTTGTAATGGTGGGTAACATCTTGTGTGGCGGATGTGCAATGGATATGTTCAATATTGTTCAATGGGTTCCTTGTTGGGGCAAGCAAGCAATCCAGCGGAGTCAGTACCCCCTTGATTGATAAAGTAAGATTGACCCCACCGCGTTGAGTTCTTTGGAATGCTGCTCGAACGGTGTTAGACTTGGGTCGTCAAAACGACGTCAGGGTCGCCTGAAAAACGCAGGAGAAAAGCGCCAAAGAACGCAGAACGTTGCATCCAACAGAGCTTGGAAGATCTTGGGAAAAGGCTCCTACAGGCTATATAAGTTATAGGGTTTACTGATGATCAGTGATCCAGCTTGGGCCATCGAAAGGAGCTCGGCCGCTCAGGGTCTCGTTCTTCTTGCGCGGACCGGGCCCCTCTCGGATCAAGTTTGTTTGTTACAGAACCGTTTCGTGGTCTTCAGGGTCATCCCCTGCCCTGTAAAAGCCGGCAGACACAAAAGGTCAAGGACAAGTGACAATATCAACACAATCCACATGTACTGTAGCACATTTAGCGCATGTAATGACTGATGTTTAAAGGCTGTTTTGCAAAATGCTCATGATATCCCGATGTGGCACCGCTGTGTTACGTAAGGTCATGTGAGAAAAAAATAAACTGCCCACTAGGTCGACGGGTCAAACCACTGATCCGGATTTTTAGGGGCATCATGGTGCAGCAGAACTTGACAGCGTTTTCGCACAGCGTGGACTTGCGTGGCCCACTGACGAAAGACATTACTGCAGAGAGCTTTTCAGAGCGTTTGGTGCCCTTCACCTTGACTACTTGGCTTTGTTTGCTCTTCTTGTACTTGATCTTCTTTGCGCACGAGATGTATGCTGCCAGGGTCAAACCACTCTGGGCGAACGAGCAGAAGGCCAGCAGCCTGATGTTTCAATCTTCCGTGCTCTTCTATTGGTTTTACTGGTACGTCAACGAGGCGATGCTGTTGCCTGTGACCTTGGACTTCGCTGTCAGCATGGGCCAAAGCGCCACGATGTCTGGCTTCTTCATTAGCAGTTCTTTGATCGCCTTGATTCTGGGACTCTTCATGGGCCGCTGGGCATTCTTTTTTGCGATTTGGAGACTGGCACCAGGGGACCCACCGGGTGCCAGTTCGGTCGTTGGTCGTTCGCTTTCCTTGTTGTTGGACCGGTTTGATCCATCCTGGTCCATCCCCATCAATGATCTCTTTGAATTCGAACGATTAGAGAACCCCATGGTGTTCGACCCTGAAAGGGGGTCATTCATGGTCATTCCGGGTTTTGTGGGCCTTCTCCGTCTTTACATTTACCCCATTTACCCAAGCATGGGTGGACCATCCCCTGCTTGCAGAGGAGTTCAATATTCCAGGGGGTTCCTGGCTAGTCCAGCGAGATAACTGCTCGGATGATTCTGGCGTGTTCCGGGTTGAATCGCCGAAGATTTGCATCTTCTCTTATGCATATTTTTCACGAAAGGTAGCCCTTTAGGGGATACCTTGAGTTTGTCTTGCGAAGCAAGTCTTGGCGCGTCCGGGTCTAAGAATTGATCATTCAATTCAACCCCCCCCCCTCTAAATTCAATTCTCTCCTGGAGAACGTCTTCGTGAGCCTCTCATGATTTCAGGATAGTTGAAACCCTCTTGAACATTCAGAAAGAGTGCATATGAAATTCTAATCACGAAAGGTGTTCCCCGAGGGGATACATACCTAGAGTTTGTTTTGTGAAGCACGTCAATTCTCTCCTGGGGAACGTCTTCGTGAGCCTCTTATGGTTTCTGGATAGTTCAAATCCTATGGTGCTCCGATTCAATGCTCACCGATGATCTGAGCCATGGGGCAAGTTTGTTTTCCTAAGAATCTTTTGGAACATTTCGAGAGCATATGTTTGAACATTGAGAGTGCATATGAAATAATATTTACGAAAGGTCGCCTCCGAGGGGATAAATCACCATGTCGAACATTGCATTTTTGTTCCTGCCTCTCGCGTTCTCTTCTCTTCCCGCTGTCCTACCTTTCGTGTCTCCCTCCTCTCAAGTTCGGAACACCGTCTCAAGCCTTAAGATGTCTTAAGATTGTTCTTTTTTTTCCAATGCCCCAAATCTAAGGCAAGAAGCTGGTGCCAGAAGCTTCGTTTGATCAGCGCAGGGCACGTTCTTTGCTTGTGTGGTCCAACCTCGTTGCAACCCTCTTCATGCTACTGGAAGCTGCCGTTTGCAACTCTGCGGTTCATTGGAGCATGCCAGCCAAAGGGGTCGCTGGGCGTTCCAGCGGTTCATGAGTCGGGAGATGTGGACGAGAAAAGAACCGGGACGACCGGTTCTCAGCGTCCTCAGATTGAAGTCTAGCTTGAATTGAATTCCTCCAGTATTGTGCCAGACATCTTCCAGTCTTGGCACAAGCCTTTGGGCCAAAGTCTTCAGGAACTGGACCTATTCAACTGGACCTCCGGGAACTGGAGTGTAGTGTGAAGTGACATGCATAGTGAAGGAGGGATGAATTGCCGTTTCAAAGAAACATGGTGACAAGCACTCTGGGAGCCTCCAAGGTGGTCTTTTGGGTGATGATTCTGATCTCCCAAGCGCATGGCTTTGTTGGAGCGTTGCCCTATGTGCCGCTCATGGTGATGTGGGGCAAGTTCACACCCAAGAGTGAGATGCTCGCAAATGCTGAAATGTGGAGGTTTTGCAGTGTGTTCAATGATTTGACACCCAAACCCTGGAAGAAGTGAACATGTTCATGCATTTTCTATTTGCACAAAAAAAAACGCACAACTGTATGTCCAGATGCTGAATGATACATAGTTTTGGGTGTGCCCAGAAAGAGGCTTAGCAACTTGAGTTATTGTAGCACAAGCACAAGTTTTAAACTCGTGCTACTTGTTTTGGGTGGGACACAGGCTGATTGCCAGACACACGGCGACGCACAAGAGTAGCTATATCGCCTAAACAGGGATACCGCCAGTAGGATTATTTGGGGTTGTTTTGGTTGTTTGCTCACTTAGGTCTTTTAGCTCTTTTCGTGAAACCGTGAGATGGGTCGACCTTGGGGCCACGGCGGAACCGGCTCATGCCAACGCCTGGACCGGCTCATTCCGTCGACGCGCTTGTGCTTCACTGGCCAGGAGTTCCATGTCAATGTCGAACCCCGCACCCCCCCCTTACCACACAGCTTGGTCTCCAAATCCAGGATTCATGAAGACTGTATCCCAACTATCCCATTCCCGGAGTGCGATCGAGTGCTGCCTGCATTCTATAAACAGGGTTTTCGGACCCATGAGATGTTGGAAGGTTCTGAAACTCAGGATGTCCTTCTGGATGATTCTGACCCAATGTGTGCGGCAGAGTGGCCTCTTGGTCGGCCCAGCCATCTTCGCGCTGGTGAGTGTCCTGGTGAAGGGTGGTTCGCCCATTGCGCCTCCCTCGCTGATGGCCTGGGTGGTTTTGGCACAAGCTGTCTTGGGACACACGGCCCAACCGTAGACATCGCGTCGCAGTACTCTACTCGATATGTGGGTGGGTATTTTCAGGCGGGAGACGGGAGACTCCAACTCGGGTCTTCCAGAGGGCCTGCAGGGAGGTCTTACATCCATGCAATCAAGGAGGGATGAGGAGGGTTTTTCTGACACCTCAAACCAGCGGGTACCTGGATACATCATGCTACACACACCGACCGTGACACGACCGTGACCGACCGTCACATCGGGTTCCCCCCCCTCATGGCTTTTGGTCGGCGAAGGACGTTGTGCAACGAAACAGGTATAGTGGGTTTTTTGAATCAACGCGACTCGGTTTCCAAAGGCTCTCTTTGGTTGTCGATGGATGTCGATGACAGGCTGTTGATGTATGGAGATGTTTGTTCATCCAGCTACTTTGGGTTTTCAATCAACAGTCTTTAGCCTGCATACATTAAAGGCAACTACTGTATCGTATATTAAAACAATATATCTATAACTATTTTCCCTGAGTTGCTTTTTAGCAGTAGTTCGTCATTGAGCGTATATATAGTAGTTGGTCCACCACCCATAAGGGGCCGTAGTGCGAAAAACATCAATTCCGATCAGCAAAATGAGTTGAATGCACATAGTTATCTAGCTTGGGGAAGATTTGTTCAGCGTTTTCAAGCATTGAATTGCGTAATTGCATTGGGGAACAATTCTCCTGTGCACTTCCCAGTTGAATTGACACTTTAACAGTCAATTCAAGTTACCCCCAACTATCGAGGCTTTGGAAGCTTTTGGGTTTACGTAATTGTTTAAGATCTATTGCCACACAAGCTCCTGTTCATTCTTCTTATGTGCATCAGCTACACTTTCCTCATGCATCGTAGACAACAATGTGTTCAAATGTTTTCAAGTTGTATAGACATGACGCGAAGATCATTCGCATTCATCCGCTATTGTTTAACAACAGAAGACATTAGATACCCACCGTTATGATCCTACCAATTACATCCCTGAAATGGTTGTGAAATCGATGACAATGTCCAAAAAAAGGCACAAATCACCACGGCCCGTTGTTGGCGGTGCTTCAAGTAGTTAAGCTAGGGACGACAAACCTTTATGGAGAGTGGCCTGTTCAATATTGTTCAATGCTCAAGGCTGAGAGGTTGATGTGTTTTCGTGGCTTTATGCAATTTTTGGTGCGGACTCGCTCAGTGCTGTGTGACGCTCCCACTAGCAATAAGCTTTGTGGCTGCTTCCGCTTCAGGACTGGCCTCGGTCTTGCTGAACGCCCTGGTCATCCCGCAGCAGATGCCTCCCCTGCCAGACGCTGACGCGGACGACGCGGAGGAACCGGAAGATGTGACGCTGAGCAACGACCCGAAGACAGAGCGGTCGGTGGAGGAGTTGGAGTTGCCGCAGCGGCAGGAGGTGGATAAGGGGGGTTGGGAACGCTTGGGGCGTGGATAGGGGATGGGTATACCATGGTATACCTATATAATCCTATATATGAAATCTGGTCTATATATATACATATTGTTGCATATATTACAATAACTTATTTATTTGGATTTTGCCAGTGAATCTGTGGGTGCTGCAACTCTTCGGACCTGATTCAGTTGTTTTCACGAACTTATGGGTTTGGGCGAACTTTTTTGGCCTTTATCCAGCGCGCCCGTCCGTTAGGCCTTCCGGTGTTTTTTCTTTTGCCTGCAGAAGCATTCGATACACATACCATTAGGAATTGATAGGAATTGGACTGTGAATTCATTTCGATATATTTCGATGCACCGGGTGAATGAGAGTCCAGATTTTTGGAAAGACATACTCCAGAGGGATGCCCAAGAGGAGAAATGCCGAGATTGATTTGGACGCAGTCGTCGAACAGAAGGGGTTAATATGGCTATAGCCATCTAAGTCAATTTGTCAACGCCGTGCGTTTCTTGCGCTTGGATTTCCTGTTTTCCGGACTCGACACGCGATGCACCGCTCAGGTGGTACAGGGCATGATCTTCTATGCCTTCGAGCGTCAGTTGGTCACTGCCTCCATTGAGGTCAGCACCATCATGCTTCTCGAGGTGCGGTCAGCATCACGGAGGGGTGCTGCTTTTGTTGGAAAACGACCGGGGAAAGGAACTATTTAGGTGCTTTGCCAGTTTCAGGGAGCCAAAACTGATCATCAGCCCTTAGGTGCTTTAGCTGCCAAGAAACGGTTGGACGGTAGGAGTTTCGCGGCTGATAGTTCTGGACAGTTCCCTTAGCTTCCGAGAAGCTTTGTTTTCTATCTGCCAGCTAGTTTTTTTGGCTCCCACCCTCCTGGAAGCCAGTTTTGGAAGCCCATTTTTTTGACTGCCAGCTGGTTTTTTTGTCTGGCAGCTTGTTTTTTTAGCTTCTGAAAACTGTCTGCCAGCTACTTTTTTTAGCTTCTGACAAAAAAAACAAGCTTCCAGTATTTTTTAATGTTAGCACTCCAGAAGCCAAAATTTTTGGCTTCTAGAAGCTTGTTTTTTTGGCTTCTAGAAGCTTGTTTTTTTGGCTTCTAGAAATTTGGTTTTTGGCTTCTAGAAGCTTGTTTTTTTAGCTTCTGGAAATGGTAGCTCATTAACAAACTAAAAAGAATATATATATATATATAGATATATATTTACTAACCATGTCATCAACCTAGCCCAAGCTCAAGAGCATAGATCTTTTTGGAAATGGCTCGTCTTTTGCCAGTGGAGCAGACCAAAGGCGATGGAAGAATGACAAAAATTGGTTGGCCTCATCTCTGGCTTTGTGCCGGATTGTAGCTTGGCAGATTTTCCCCTTGAGCCAGACATGGCTATTTCAAAGCAAGCAACCTTTTTGTCTGTCTGGTTTGCTGAAAAGCCCACTAAGCCTGAAGCAAGGCTCTCTTTCCAAATTGCTTGCCCTAAAATGTCAAATTTGGACACAGGTGAGATCGTTCAGCACTTGGTGCAATACAAGAGATGGCTGACCAAAAAAGCTAAAAATATGAAAAATGGAGAGAAGACAAGCCCTGCAGTCCTCCAAGTGATGAAAGCCATGGGCTTGGCACCCATCGCCAGTGAACCCCAGCCTCAGCCTGAAAGAAGGCTAAAAAGAAAAACACACATGCCATCTGATTCTCTTATGGCCCCTGACCCAGCAATGGCTGCAATTCAAAAGCAAGACCCCCCAGCCTGAAAATGACAAGGCAACAATTCAAAAGCAAGACTCCCAGCCTGGAAAGGCTCCAGCCACCAAATCAAACATTTTAATGCCTCAAGCAGCACAAAGTCCAAGGTGGAGAGCGAAAGCTCAGGCAGTGAAGAAAAGGAAGCTTTTGTGGTCAGCACACAGGAAGTTTCTTCCACTTCATCTGGTATAGTGACCCCTCAAAAGCTGAAACCCAAAAATGGGAAGAATTGCAGCTACAAAAGGCCTGCCAGCTGCATGACCCCCCCAAAAAAGCCAGCAATGGCTCCCAAGACTGCAAAAGTTACCAAGCCTGCAAAGCATGTGCACATGGCAACCCACAACACATGGGTAGCAAGCTGCAGCTTTGGCTAGGTCAAAAAGGGCAACTTCAAGGAGAAGGGCTACATCCGAGCCAGGGATGGCTCTGAATCCAAACCGTATTTTTTTGGTGAATGTCAATTTACCAAAAGGAGCCCCTGATGTTTCATGGCAGGGCTTCTGCCAAAAGAAGAGCTCAAAGAAGAGAGTTGGAAAGGAAAGGTGAAGAAGTCCCTGAGGAGTTAAAGCCCAGGGTCCACAGTCTGAATAAGGCTCTCAAGAGGCAAATGTATGAATTGCATCGCAAAGCCAGGGAAATGGCCCAAGAAAAAGATCCAGCAAAGTTGGATGAATGGGAAAAGCAACAAGCAGACCGGCTAGCCATTGTTGCTAGGGAAGATGCAGAGAGGAGGGCCCAAGAGGCTTCCTCTGCCGAGGGGGGGCACAAGAAAGAGCAAGGCAATGGCAGGGAGAGGTCGAAGAGTGTGGGGACAAGGTTAGGCAAAGATGGGAAACCAAGATGTGAGCACATGCCAGCAGATGGCACCCTCATTCAAGGTGGGGATGAGGAGGGGGAGGAGGATGAAGAAGATGATGGTGATGGAGTGCCTGATCAAGGCAAAAAGAAAAAGAACAGGAGGAGAAGCAAAACAGCCAGAGGGAAGAAGCAGCCAAAGGAAGAAAAGCCAGACAATGGCTCTCAGGAAAAGGATCCTAGTGGTGGAAAAGATGGTGATACTGGAGGTGCAGGGGCAGCAGAACCAGTTGCTGCTCCTTAAATGCCAGCAATGGCAACTTGCCAGCAATGGCACCCTGCCTGAAAAGGCATTCTACCAGCACTGCAGCTGAGAGTTTTTGGAAAAAAAAGGTGCGCCTGCCTGCTTTCAGTGGTACTTCAAAAGGGATGTAAAAAAGGAACTTTTGGAACTTTTGGACTATGGAACTTTTGGAACTTTCTCTTCCTAGATATTGTTTTCTTATATAAATCAAAAATTCCAAAAGTTCCGAAAGTTCCAAAAAGTTCCTGGTCACATTTTTCAACCCCACCCAAAAAAATCTGCAGCCATTTTTCTGACCTCAAGCTTTAAACAACTGGCCAGTGTCTGTAGCTAGATGGCAAAAAGAAAGGCTCCCGATGTGAAGGTGGAGCCACCAACCCCCAAGAAGAAAGCAATGGCAAAAGCAAAAGCAAAAGCCAGTGGCTCTGCCATTCCAGAGGCAACTCCTTCTGTAGCCTCTGAGGCAGCAGCTATGGAAGCCCCAAGTACTGAATCCAAGCCTGCAAAGGCTAGAGCAGTGAAGGATGGGGAGTTGCCTGCTCCTTCAAAAGATGCTTGGAAGGACATGCACCAGCAACTTGCCAGGAAAGCCAAGGCTGGAGACACAGCCCTCAAGACTGCCTGGGACAAGGCATGTGCCAATGGAAGCCAACAAGCCAAAAGAGAGTTTTACTACAACACTTTCCTTCTGGATGAATCTGCAGCCAGTCGCAGTGTACACAAACAAAGCCTGGAAAGGCTCAAAAGGACTGACAAAGTCATCGATGGTTAAGTACCAGATAGCCAAGTTGCAGGGTGCTGACCCACAAGACCCAGACTTCAACAAGCTGGCAGAAGCTGCAGTGCTGGGGTTGCCTGAGAGACCTCATGAGGTCAAAGCTTGGGCAGAGTGCCTGTACATGAATCAATCCGCATTAGATGTTTGGCCCATGAATTTGCCATGCAGCCCAGCTTTCTCAGCTATGAGGATTCCTATCTGCTGCCTCGATACCAGAATGATAGCAGCAGAAACAATCCAAGCAATATGTGGAATTTTGTTTTGGAGCTTCGATTGCCTGAACAAAGGCACTTTTCCCACAGCCAGACATGATGGCTCACCCTGGCTGAAGCATGATGCCTACAGAAAATTTAGGGCAGGCGCAGCTCTGCCTGGGAAGGCAACCCTCATCCAAATTCGATCTGATTGGGATTGGAATTGTAAATACTTTGGAGCAGGCACTTGGAATGAGAAGAAAGGGAATTGCTGGCTGTGCCAAGCCACTCCAGACAACTGGAGGTAAATGAGCCAGAGCATGGCTAGGTTGGAGAAAACCATGGACAAGGATGCCTACTTGACTTTCCTCATGGATCGAGGTAAGTCAATCAATCCTTTGTTTCAATTGCCCAATGTCAGTAATGGCACCATCATGCCAGATTGGATGCATGTTTGTGATGAGGGCAGTTTTGCTGTGGCAGCAGGGCAAATTCTGAAAGAATTACTGCCATCTTTTCCAGGCACTTCTCAAGATGAAAGATGTGCCAATCTCTGGCAAGAGATTCAAAAAATGTATGAAGAAAGAGATTTTCCAGGCTGCAAAAGGCTCAAGAAGTTGACTGTCAAGGATATAGTCAAACCAAAGAAAGCTCAGTTTTGGATTGCAAGGCCCATGAAGTCAGGGATTTTTGCCCCCTTCTCGAACCATTGTGCAAAAGACAATGCCTGCATGAAGGCACCTGGCATGAGAAAGCTGTCTACAAAGTGGCCAAGTACTGCAGCCATATGTACAACAGTTTAGAAGCCTCCAACAAACAAGAACTGGTGAAGGCTGGAAGAAAATTCATCAGCCAGTACATGGCTTTAGAAGCAGAAGTCCAAGCCAGTGATGGCTCAGAGGTTCGATTGTGGAGATCAAAGCCCAAGCTCCACCTCTTGGGCCACATTTTGGATTTGGTTGAGCTTGGTAACCGTCCAAAAGACAGCTGGAATTATAAGGATGAAACATTTGCAGGGTCACTGCAAACTTTATTTTTTCGCAGAGGTGGTAAATTCCAGCCTGGCAAGGCTTCTGAAAAGGTCTTGCTGAGGTGGATGTCAGCCACTCCATTCCCTCATCTTGGACAAGCCAAGGCAGCAATGGCTAAATGAAATAGACAAAAGAGTGATGCAGCGCATAAATGTATCATGATGTTATATAAATATATAAGAATATCTATAGATATACATTTCCAGAAGCTATATTTTTTGACTTCTAGAAGCCTCTTTTTTTGGCTTCTAGAAGCCTCTTTTTTGGATTTCTAGAAGCCTTTTTTTTGGCTTCCAAAGGCTTCTAACATAAAAAACCTGGAAGCCAAAAAAACAGGCTGGCAGACAACTTTTTGGAGCAATGAAAAAAAAGGTAGCTTCTCGGAAGCTAAGGGTTGGTTTTAGAGTTCTGGGCGTTGTTTTTTTTATAATGGCCTGACTGCTTTAAGGCTTAGTAACACCGATTTGGAGGACTGAAAAGCAGTCTGTCTCCTCGCCTGGATGGGAGTGCCTGTCAGGTCTCCTACGGCTGGTCGGTGGAGCTGAGCGGGATCGTCTTCACGGTGGTGTCCTTCACCGGCCTCTTGCAAAAGCATCAGAGAGGGAGCGCAATGGCCCCGCAACCGATGATCATTCTATAGAGAGCCCCAAATTCCTCGCGGAGCGGAGCGGAGCGTAGTACGTAGATGGCACGTCTTCCAAGACCCAGCGGAGCGTCGTAGCAGTCCATTCAATGACCTGCAACCAAACACCGTTGACAGAGTGAGAAAGACAGCAAAAGACCCAGACTTGGATACGCCAGACGATCCAAGGAGATACCAGGACATCCGGACCAGGGGCTTCTATTGATAGCCCCAAAAAGCTGTGATTCTGGGTGTCCATGAACCACCCAACTCCAGTGGGTCCGGGATCATTTGGACTCCTTTGGACTCCGCAACAGTGCTTTGTGGCGAACCCCAACCCCCGAGGCTTGGCTTTCGCTGGCCTCTCCACGTGGATGATCTCCCACCAGGCCCCTTCCTTCCGCGTGGGTCCCGGGCAGCGTGGGTTGGAGGAACAGGCCGGAGGGGATTGGAGGAGTGTGTTTTTCTTCCTTCTTCGGAAGAAGTTCTTCCTGTCAGTTCTTCCTGTCAAACGATCACTCGTATTTTTGCTTTGGGTGCGGTGCGCCAAACAAACCTCGGCCCTACAGCATGTGACCGTTGGCGCTCGCGTTTGCGCAGGCGCTGAGGCTCTGCAAAAAACACGGCGTATGTTTGCAAGGTTTTGCATTACCCAGACACTCCATTTATGCCATATATGCCTACATTGGGGTGGTTTTGGGGGTCAATGTAGAAAGGAATCAGGGGAGAGTCTAACCCCAGGCCAGATCCTGGGCGATGCTTTTTCATGTGTTCCGTAAAAGGTAAAACACTTGGTGCGGAACAAAACAGTTATACATACATGCCAGTCTAATGACAACCGGCTCTTTTGCACATGAAGTCATCGCAGACCGCCCAGCAGCCCAGCTTGGAGTCCCGTACCACGAAACACCCGGCCCCCCGTACCACGCTCACGCTCACGTACCCTCATCGTCCTAGACTGGGGTCGGCGGATTAAGTTTTATTATATAAGTACCTAATACTGTTTTACTTGTTTGGGAGTGGGCCACCAGCATCGGGAAGTAGTCTGCAGGGAGCTGGACAGTTGCTGGCCGCAAGTTGTGTCAAGAGTTCGGAGAAGGGACACGCATCCAGGATCATCCAGGAAGTCTTTGGAATACCACATAATACCACCAGGTTGTATGCCAGGACCTTTGGTTCTGAGGTGGTGCACGGGCATTTTTGGGACCAACAATTGGCTTTCCGAAGACGCCTGACGATCTTGGTCTTCTGAACGCGCGAAAACGCCGCATTGCACAGTCCTTGATCATTCTGGGTCAGCAGGTCAATCATAGGCATTATCAGCAATCACCAGCTTCGTAACAATGATCAATTTCGTAAAGAAGGGCTGGCCCTATTTCAGACTTTGGCTGGAACCTGCAAAAGGGTATACCGGTCCCCCTCAAAGAGCCATGTCGCCATGTCTTTTGGAGATATGTTCAGCTGAACGAAATTGTGGCTGGGGCTTGACCAATTACGATAGGCCCTCCTCAAGAGCAATAACCGTATACTGAAGCATGTCCTTTTCTTGATAGGACGTTTTGGCAGAGGTTCATAAAGGATGAAACACGGTTCCGGTAAGACATGTCCTTGGATTCCTTTAGTGCACCACCAATCAAATTGTTTCCACATTTTGGGATGTTGGTTGTATAGGCCTGGGGAATGGAGCCATGAATGGGGAAATGATCTCCGATTCCAACAGAAGAATCATCCCAGTAGCGGTGGAAGTGCATCCGTCGTTCGGCCAGGTTTGCCAGGAGTCCACGGTGTTTTTTGCCTGCAATGCCATTGCGCTGGTGGGCGTTCCTCAGCTTTGCTTGTGCGCCCTCCATCGGTCGTCGATGGAATTCCCTACCTTTCCATCCTAGACACTCCATCTGGAATTTGGACTCCATCTATATACATTGGGGTGGTTTGGGTAGTCAATTTAGGCGTATATGCCGTACAATGTAGGCATATATATATATGCCATACGGGGAGTGTTTGGATGTGTTTGGGTAGTGTTTTGTGTGTTTTTGTTGTTCTTCATTTGCCGATTAGAAGAACTGGACAGAAACATCAAAGGTGGCCAAGTGGTTCTATCTCTGAGAGACGGTATTATCTCATGCAACATAGTGAACATCAATACAACATTCCATCATTTGCCAGAACATAGTATCAATATTCTTTATCAAAACACAGTTGAAATTTCATGTATGACCAATCAATTTGTTGTGGTTCTTTAATGTTTGTTTCAGGGAGTGCAAGAGCCTGCAGTTTAGTCTTTTCTACATATGGTTTGGCCATCTGAAGGGCCACAGGAAAGAAGTTGATCCATTTGAATGGCCTCCCAGGTGATATGAATCCACAATTTGACCTTACTTGGTTCATTTGAATGTCGTCGGATTTCGTGAAAAGGGCTGACCCCGCTGCAAGCGTCGAGCCTGAGGGACCATCAAAAAAAAAAGGTAACGAACATCAAAAATGAATCTGAGATGTGTGCAGTTTGACTGTTTGAGGAACCTGGCTCTTAGCAGGGTGACGTGGGCTACGTGCGTGCTACATCTCAGTTCTCCCCTCATGTTTCATCCTTTTCCGCGTGCCTTTGCCAGGTGATCTTCCTCTTTGACTTCGGCACCGGTGCGTTCGGCCTTCTTTTGGCCGATGGCTTGGTCTACGGCTGCGCCAGCGTCTCCAACGGCATTGCTGAGGGCTGGGCTTCCCGTGCTGCAAAGGAAGGCAGCGACTTCAGCATTGAGGCGCAAGCATGGGAGCTTGTCTGGTGGTGTCTTTTGGTGGGGCGGCCCAATAGCTCGGGTCTGTTTGGGTCACTGACCTGCCAATTTCTCTATTGAACGCTCCAAGTCAACTCAGCTTGGAGACTGCGCCAGTGCTTGGACACACTGAACCCCACGAACCCACTCACTCTCCACCATCAGTGGACTTCCTGCCTCGACTTCCTGCCTCGCCTTCCTCCAGGTTTACCGGACTTGGAACATGTCTTTGGCCTGTGCCGCTCGTTTCATGGCACCGATGGTGGCCCGGACCGTCCTGGACTTCGGGGGGGCGAAACCTCTACGCCGCCCTGCAGCTGGTGATGGTGGCTTTGAGCACCAGCACGGCGACTTGGCGCTAAGTCACGTCGTGCTCAGTCTCGGGGCATTGGGTGTTGGATTTCATTCCATGAATGGCATACATGATCTTTCATAATCTTCCTGTGAGAGGTGAGATGTCAGAGGAGTTGGGAGCGAAACCCATCTCCTGCTCCGACAACCTCCCTGGACAGCGTCGCTTTTTAAAACGGGTTGGGTTCTGGGAGTTCGGAGTTCTGGTCTCGTCTTGCAACTGGTTTTGCCTGTTTTAAGCGATGTTATTCATCGACATGAAGGAAGCGAACACCCAGATCATCCCAGATCTATAATATCCCTTTGACACACACGGATATATAATATATATACACCTGACTGCCTGCGCAGGATCGGGGTCAGAATCGGCATTCTCGGCATTCTGCAGGTGTATCGAGCTGCATCGATGCTTTGGAACAAAGCCAAGAATGGCAAGGAGGTTCGAGGTGCAACAAGTGCCACTGGCCGGCGAGTTCTGTGTTGGCCATGTGTTGGAAAGGGATGTGACATGTCACATGGCGCTTTTTGGCGAGTGGCCGGCGAAGTGGCGAACTGGTGGTTCTGAAATGAGACCGTTAAAGGGAGTGCTTTGATCACTGGTTGTATTGCTTACCCTTAGAAACTGCGGTCAGTTGGGTACGATTATGAAGTAGCAGTATAACCACAGCAACCACTACTCAGAATATGTTTGCCACACAGCCATCACCTTCACACTGAAGGCGCGCGTGAAGACTGAAGTCGCACATCGCCACAGAAAAAACACATAACCAATCATCGCACACATGTTTCATCACACGACGCCACACATGAACTTTCAGAATCACATGGCCACATCGAGATTTACACCAATCATCGATCTAGCTCAACATCCCGACCTGAACTCAAAAGACAGTGCACATCGAATTGTCGGTGTTTAGCTCAACATGAGTGCTCAGAGTGTGGATTTGTCCACGTACCCAGTCCGGATGTCGGCGATGGGGTTGGGTTGGTGTCTGGATCGCACGAAGCGATACGAAGCGCACTGACCAAGTATTTGGGATGTGTCGCCTGGTGCAGGGTTCTTCCCAGTCGACTCGTCTCCAACAAATTTGTTACCTGGTGACTACGAAAGTCGCAAGCTGGGGGGACTACGAAATAGGAATAGCTCAAGTGATATATTTCACTACCCGCCAATCGACATCTATGCTGACAAAAAACCGATGGCACCGGATCAAGTTCATAGTTCGATGCATGTCGAGTCCGCACCGTTGGCTGAATGACTGCCCACTTGACTGCCAGACTGCACTATGGAGCAGGATTGGGCGGTGCTTGCGCAAAGCATCGTGCATGTCAGAGGCCCACTGACCAAAGGCCTTACTGCGGGGAGTTTTTCAGACCGTTTGGCGCCCTTCACTTTGACTGCTTGGCTTTTCCTGCTGTTCTGGTATTTGATGTTCTTCGCACACGAGATGTATGCTGCGAAGATAGAACCGCTGTTGGCCAACGGGAAGTCTAGCAGTTTGCTCTTCCAGTCTTCCTTACTCTTCTATTGGTTTTGCGGCTACGTTAATGAAGCGATGCTTCTGCCAGTGACCTTGGATTTTGCCGCCAGCATGGGCCAAAGCGCCACGATGTCTGGTTTCTTTATTGGTAGTTCTTTGATCGCCTCGATTCTGGGGGTCTTCATGGGCAGCTTGGCTTGACCATGTGGTTGTGAAGGGTGTTGGGATGTGTTGGGAGAAATTGCCTCATGAAAAGGCGGCATCAAATCGGTTCTCTGAAGGACTAGCCCATTTGTTCCGACCAATACAGTTTCAGCGTTTCTTTGTCTACACGGGCATGGACTCGAATGTGAAAAGTTCGTATAATCGTATATGGATTGCTATCACTGCTGCACCTTTTTGTTAAAACGTGGGATCGGCAGCGGACGTGACCTTCAAAAGCCGACTGCGGAGCCCGGAGCCGAAGGCACCAGCGAGCTGAAGCTGAGCTGCTTAGGTTGGACCTCCAAAACCTTCCCAAGGTACACAGGGCCAGTCCCATGGATGGTCTGGGATTGGAGTCCAGACAGGGGTTTCTGTTTTTATGTGACTCTTTAAGCTGTCAAGACGACAGGCGAGCATGGCATCCCAGTTGCGATCATAGCCACCATGGTCCAGATCTAATCTGGTCGTCTTTGGACGAATTGTCTCATTCTCCGAGCTGACTGCCACAGGTTCCTGACCAAGAACACGTGCTGCATGCTGAGTCAAATTGCTAAATCCTATACCTGAACCCTCCAACAGCTGTTCCGGTGACAACAGGTGCCAAACCATAAACCACTTGCACCACCTGTTGGAAGGGCGCCAAACATGTCACCCCTAGTGGGAAGGGGTCCTGGTAGAGTTGTCATTGACATGCCCAGGTAAGAGGGTGGTGAATGAGGAGTTCTGGGATCAACGCTTGGCGCGTGCCTTGATCCTTTGGTCCAATCTACTGGCGAGCCTTTTCATGCTGCTCGAAGCGGTGGTCTCGAACTGGGCGGTTCATTGGAGCCTTCCATCAAAGCGCGTCGCTGGGCTGAAGCACAGAAGGCTATCAGAATTTGGTGAATCTTCAGGGTTCCTTGGACTGGAGTTGGGACTTAAGGACCCTTCGGTACAATGACTGAGTACTGATAATAGCTAGTAGCCTGGCACGTTTGTCACTCCTGGCACTGCCGACTGAGTCGGTTCTTCGAGATTGAAAGCTCCAAGTCGTTGCCTCCAAGGCAGTCTTCTGGGTGATGATGTTGCTCTCCCAAGTTGCTGCCTTTTGTTTGTCCTTGCCCCAAGTGCCGCTGTTGGTCATGTGGGGCAAGTTCACACCCAAGAGTGAGATGCTGGGCCTTTGATCGTTCAGTTTGGGGGGGAAGCCACCACCCTTTCACGCGCATGCGGGCTGGAAAGAAACCGGTTGAAGATGGTTGAAGGCAATTGATGGTCGGATCACTGTCGTCATCATTCCATGGTTGGATCACATGCGTTGCGGGTTTTTGCGATGTCGCCAACCATGATCACCTTGCGACCATGACAGACAATGCTTCAGCTGAAGTCATACAATGATGAAGCCGCCTAATCCAAATAATCCAATTATTAATTGTGTATATATATATATATATAGTCATTTATAGTGTTTACATTGACCCCTTTTTCAACCAGCCCAACTGATCAGCCAATAGGGCAATCCCACTATATCGTTTGTTTAGGTTTAGAAGCGCATTTGGGGTCTCGTGGGTTGCGGCTTTGGGATTCGGTGCATCATTGCCAGTCCAACAGTGGAACTGGCCTGTACAACTGGTTGCTGACCAGTGGAACCTGGGGTCAGCGGGATCTTTGGGAGTCTGGTACCAAGCGAGCCCATCAATCATGTGAATTGAGGATGTCTTTCTGGATGGTTCTGACCCAGTGTGCACGGCAGGGAGGCGTTATAGCAGGCCCCGCGGTCTTCGCGCTGGTCAGCGTCATTGTCTCGCAGGGCGGGCGCACCCAACTGGCGCCTTGCTCGTTGATGGCCTGGGCGATTTTTGCGCAGGTGATCTTCGGACACTTGGAACTTGGTGTTTGCTTGTGTGTGTTTGAGGGGCTGCGACGCTTCGTGACCGAACGCGAGCAACACTGCCACTGTCCTCAGTATGATCACCTGCAGTGTTTGGGGTCGCGACATGTCATTGCTCTTGTCCCTACCATGTCCGAGCTCGAAATAGAGGACGTGCAAAGGCGTGGATTAGGCCCTAGAGTTCCAGCACGTTCCAGCTGTATCCTCACAAGGCAGCCAAAACCACTTAAAGGCAACACAGAGGTAGTTGGAGCCTTGTGAGTCTCGAGCGCCATTGTGACCCCTGTTGCTGCAAGCTGTGAACTTTGACCTTGAAAGCTTTGCTTTGTAGAGGAATATCCCAGCAGTTCCATGTCGGGGTGCCTCTTGGAGACGTTTTGGCTGTGTTCACATATGTTCGCTATCCACTCACTTAAGGACCCCAAAACTCACCCTTTTGGTTCTCTTTTGGAACCACTGGTAGGAGCATTCTGTTGCGGAAAAAACCACCGGACCATTCTCTAGCGATGGCCTCCAACCTACTAGCGATGGCCTCCAACCTACTAGCGATTGCCTCCAACCTACTAGCGATGGCCTCCAACCTACTAACGATGGCCTCCAACCTACTAGCGATGGCCTCCAACCTACTAGCGATGGCCTCCAACCTACTAGCGATGGCCTCCAACCTATACTAGTGATGGCCTCCAACCTACTAACGATGGCCTCCAACCTACTAGCGATGGCCTCCAACCTACTAGCGATGGCCTCCAACCTACTAGCAATGGCCTCCAACCTATACTAGTGATGGCCTTATCTTGCCTGTACTGAGGACTCTTCTCTATCGTGCTGAACTCTATGGTTCTCCCACAGCTGCCACCGGACCTCATGACGGACCCTCTGGGGCCGATAGGCGTCCTGGTGAGGAAGGTCCCGGGTGGATCCGGCAGCCGAGGGCGTTTCCGGTTTGGGAAATCTACACGACACCCATGGAACATGGTCTTCCAAAGGTTCATGCAGGTCCATGCCATCAGGTTCCATGTTTCACCATGTTTCATTCACCAGCATCCTCACTGGTAGGTCATGATGAAGGGTTGAACATGCCCAGGCTTTTGGTCCCAACTGACTGGTGGCTTGTGAAGTGGGAGACGGTAGCACCAGGAGTCACAAAGCAAGGGAACTCTTTCTAGTCCCATTCAGGGCCCGTGGATGTGGCAGCGGCATTCACCCCGATGTCCTTTGTTCGGAAACGGCATCCAACGTCCAAATCCAAGGCGTGCGGCCTCCACTGGACCCCCTCTCCAGTCCCAAGAAGGTTCCCAAGCCCGACGGAGCGACCACGGTGGACCCGGAGCGACCACCGCGCTCGGTGGAAGCGCTGGAGCGCTCCCAGCGGCGGGAGGTGCGGGCGAGACTGGTTGGTGACTGAGTTATTCAGATGAAACATGATGGAGCGCTGGTTCAATAGTTTTGGACCGGGCGGTCCAAATGTCATCACAAACCCTATGAATGCTAGGGCCTGCCTATCAGTGTTCCTATAGCACGTAATAACATTGCATTGCTTCCAAACAAAGACCAACGCATTTATTCTTAAAGACAAGACATGTTTTCCCTGGAAACTCAATGGCACAGGCCCTCAGCTTTGGATCCAGATCAGCAGAAACTGCATCTCAGGACCCCCGCGTTCCTTCCGCTCCCCCGCCCAGCGGACCCGGTCGGACCGCCCTGGCAGGTGGTGTGGGGCATGATCATCTACGGCTTTGCACGATACTTCGTCACCACCTCCATCCAGATGGGTACCCTGATGCTCCTCGAGGCGTGGGAGGGCAGTTGCGCGTTCCGGGGCAGTTGAGAGACACTGTTGGGTCCGAAGCGCTCGACTTCTGCACGGTCCGAAGCACTCGAGGTCTCCTATGGTCTGTCGGCGGAGCTGAGTGGCGCCATCTTCACTGTGATGTGCTTGAGCGGTTTTGCCGTTTCTGGACTGGCCTCCGCCGTAATCTCCCGCCAGGCCAGATTTTTTGTGTTTAAGTGCAGAGGTAGGTGTTTTGTGGTAAGGGGGTTGGAATATGTTGGAGGGCTTTTATAAGTTATAACTCTTTTGACACTGAAGATATTCACAATGAGATTCGGACGTGTTTCTAAATCAATGAATCAAATCAAGTGGACCCACATTTGATTGATGTTGTTTGTAACCATTGCGATCGATGGCCCTTCTGAAGACTCAATGGCCCAACGATGCCTAATGTGTTGATTGCCTCCTTAGGGTTTACACAGTCCCGTCAAAGGTCAAGCTGGAACCTTTTGGGTTTACCTACTGAGGGAATCAATCTGAAGGGGTCAGATTTCTTTCAGGCACGCTCCTCGGAGCGCGCCAACAAACTTCAGATTCAACGACTTCAAAACTTCACATGAACAGATGAACACAAGAATCAAGCTTCGACCTTCCAGTCCCGGTGGTGGGCTTCTGTTCAGCTTCGAACACCACCCCCACCGGCCCAACGGGCCGTCGGACGAGTTCGGTCACCAGGAAGGACCGATGTTTCACGTGTTCATATCCCCTGGTGCTGTATTGCTAGGTGGACTAGGCCGGCTGTATCCCTCAATACATCTCAATACATGAGCCATGCTGAAAACCTCCCCCCCGCGTAAGCTAAAACTGCGGTCGCGTAAGCTCTGCGTAAGCTTTGGCGTAAGCCAGACATTTCCAAGTTATGTCATATCGATGCCGCGTAAGCAAAGCCTGCAATGGCGTAAGGTGGCGTAAGCAGCGGCGTAAGCAACACCCCCGCGTAAGCTGAAACTGCGGTCGCGTAAGCGCGGCGTAAGTTTTCGCGTAAGGCAGTTCTTACGACATAGGAATCTATCAAGGTTTTCAGCATGGCTCACATGAGGAATCAATGTGTGAAATGGAACTCAAACATTATGTAGTGCAAGCATACGCATCTCCGTTCAGAACGGCACACACTTTGGCCAGATTGAAGGCTTTGTGGTCACAGATTAGAAGCAGAGAAGATACCCAAATGTAATATGTTGCACCAAGCAGTTTTGACACAGTTGACAAGCAGAAGCCAGCGCCGAGTCGAAAAAACCGCTTCTTGTTGACACCTGTGCGCCTCTGTGCTTCTCAAGATCGCCTTTTGAGTAGAAATCCTCAATGTGACCTTCACAAGACCTTGATATGCTCAGAAGGGAGTTACAAGTTACAAGGCAAACCATAATTCCCCATTTTTGGACCTATGCAGACCTATGGACCAGGACTTCAGAAGGTTCCTTCAGTCTTTTCAGCCTCCACAGGTCGTTGTCCTTTGACTTCTTGGCCCTTCAGGTCATCGACGAGTCGGCGCTCTTTTTGGCCTGCAACGCCGTGGCGCTGTTGGGGGCGACTGGGCGGTGTCGCGGGAGTTCCCGCGTGGGTTCGGGCGTGAGAAGCCAGTTCGTGGCGCGGCTCCGGAGGTTCTAGACGCCAGTGTTGGCGAACTCAGTTGCACGATGTCCTGGGGATTGCAAGATTGACACCCCTTGACTTGGGATAGCAGCACACCCCGAAGGTCAAGCACATGGACATCGAGTTTTGGACGGATGTGTGTTGGGACAATAGACGGAGGTTGACACTGACCGAGAGACCAGCCTGGAAGAGGCTGGGTCAATTCTAGGGCGTGATGAGAGCACGAGGAAGGTATCCACAGACCGAGGAAGGACCGGCATGGCAGGAAGTACCAAAGTCAATAGGAGTGAAGTCTCAAATCTGGCAGGAGCATGTAGAAACACTGCCAGATTTGAAAGCTGTCCTGTTGTGGGTTTCCTCACTGAATTCCCATTGAACCAACCATGACGTCATCCAGGAGGAACCAACATGTGGAATCGGAACCGTCCGACATGTCCGCACCAGGAGGCCTTGGATCTTTCTTCGTTGCTTCGCCGTCCGCAGGTCTCATCGCTTTGGGTTCACATCGCTTCCCTACCAAGAGAGGTTGAGTGACCGTAAATAGGACCGTAACCTGGGGTATTTACAGTATGGGATAGTCTACAGGGTCCTTCAACCTTTGTTGGTAACGGAAAAGGATGCAGTCGACTGCCGCCATCGGAGCGAGAACCGCCGGTTAGGATGACCACCACCTGCCATCGCTGTTGCAATAGCAGCAGCAATGGCAGCAGCAGCGGATGAATCAATGATGTCATACGGTTGTACTACATTGTACTAATATGATGTTATACTCCCTATCCCATAGGATCCTTGTGCACCATATATGCTTACATTGAAATGTCATTCAAATATACGTACGTATCCAATGTCATCAAAATATAGCTACATTACTCTCGAGGGGTCTCGAACTGTGATCTGACCTGTGTGCTGAGGCCATCCTGCTATCACGCAGCCATTAATGCTGAATAAAAACATACATGTGATTCCAATCCAACTGAGTGGAGGGTCCTGCAGTGTGTGCATCAGGCACATCGGCGTATACCAATCCCTTAACCACTACAATCCACGACCTATTGAAGATGTATACATACATACACCCCTGAAACCACCCCCAAATTGCTATACATCGAGTGTTTGGGGCATGAGAACGAAACCAGCAACCAAGAACATGGACATACAACAAACATTGAGTCTCCCACCCGCATGGGGAGCCGCTGGAGCAATGCTTTTGGCCGCGGCACGCCGTCCAATGCTCAATTGAACATGGGTGTCCGGACAGTAGCTGGAACAGGTGAGTGGTGCATGTTACTTCTCTACGTTTGGGTCCATGAAACTGTTGAACTGTTGGCCACAATTTTGGGGTAGGAGAAGTTTGTGGCCGCATTAGGTCGATTTAGATCCTCATCTTTGCCGTGCCATCCCCCTGCAGATGATCCAGCTCCACCGTCAGGTGCCACCCACTGCAGCTTTGCACCGTTTTTTTTTCTGATCTCTGGACATGTTCGTGCACGATGATTTTGTTTTTTTCTTGAGATCGATTGGGATGTTAGGGTGTCTGGCATTGTGAACATGTGCTGTGACTCATCTTAAAGCAAATGAAGAATCTAAACATAATCTTTGCAAATGCTGAACACTTCACCTGAGCAGAACTTGCCATACCTCAGATGCCTCAGCCCATCTAGATCTCAGCTCTGCCCGCTTCGCAAATCCTCGGCCGGTCGGCATGGAGGAAACCAACCCGGAGGAACAGGCAACACTGGGCGCTGAAATTGCTTTTGGATCAGTAATCGGACGAACGACATCACGTAAAGTGAAGCATTCCTGACAATCCTGACAACTAAATGTTTAACCATTCCATCAAAAATTGAAATCTCTTTGAAAAGAGGGGGCTTGGGAATGACAGGTTCAGGATTCTTTCGGGCTCATTTACTGGAAATGCGAACAAACTTGACTTGACCATGCAGTTGCGCATCGTTGGAGGTCTTGATGAAGAAGAGTGGCGCAAATGATTTGGGGAAACTGCTGTTGGAGGAGGTTCTACGTTCATACCTTGATGCTGTTCCATCTCGCATTTCTGCCATTCGAAATTCAGAGGACTCTGTGCTGTGGCATTGAAGCATCAACGAAGAAGTTGATCGAATACTGTTCATACCTTGATGCTGTTCAGAAGTCACAAACAAGTTTGGATCTGGCTTTCCATGGAAGGATAAAGAATTTTGGGACATCGGCAAGGAGGGTCCCTTTACAGTTGACGCCGTTAGGTTCTCAGCGTTGAACTGTGAAAATTTGTTTGCACGGGCCCACATAAATAACCACATTGAAACTTTTGACCGTCACCAATTGGGCACCTGCTCCTGCCAGAGGTGGAAGCCAACTATATCTTCTTGCTGAGCTTCTATGCCACGTTTGCAGCGGATGGGGTGCCGCCCACGAGCTACTTTCAGGCCAGCTAGCCTTGTAGGCGGTTTGGAGGACTCATTCCCACCCAAAGGTCAACAAGATGTCATTGGTGTGCTCCTGCAAAGGCCGTTTTCTACAAGCTGGCCGAGTACTATGGCTTCTTTGGGCCCAAGACCAAAAAAAAAGGTCATCAAGGACAGAGATGTATGTTCGTGTCACCGCCCATAGTTCCAACTTCAACCAAGCATAATTTTCTGTTCTTCGAAATCATCAATCTGGTTATTAGCTGTGGCGTATTTCAGGAGTGGGCACGGTCCATTGCGGGTGATACACGGGCCTTGTGTGTACATGGACTGAAACTGGCTACAAGGTCAGTGTCCAGCAGGTAGGGGACGGAGAGTGCAGAGTGTGCAATTGGTCATTGTCGCATATATTGTCAAGTTAAGTTTTCCAGCAGGCCACAGTTAACATGTCAACATGTCTGGCCAGGCGGAAAAAGATCCAAGTTCTCAAGGGGGTCATTTCCAGCGTGATTCAAGGTGCGTGAACTGAGACTTGATACACACTTCATTTTGTGGCATGCTGTATAATTTCAGTGGACATGGATTTCTTATGTCCTGCGACAGAACGCAACCCAAATAGCAGCGTGGACAACGTCATCGAGACCCAGGTGGCAAAAGCATTGGCTGACCAGGTGCCAATCTTTGACAACACTTCTACAATCTTCTACATTTTAGAGTCACAAAGGTGAGCGTTCTTTGCACCCCCCATAAGTGCGGTTTGGTGCAACTTTTAAATTTCTGTTGAACAAAAAAACTATACAATCCCACATAATCCCACTGTTGCTGTCAGGAGGCCGTGGCGAGCTCTTCGGACACCACTGCAGATGAGACCACGAAGAAGGGTGAGAATCTCACCTTGGCCCGCGTGGAGGACATGACACAAGTTGAATTCTTGTTAAACCAAAGGGTACCAAATTAACTAATTATGTGCATATTTTTTTCATACTACATGCATGCATGAATGCCTTAATTCTGAGCATTCCCTCAAACTGTGAAGAAACAAAAAGGTAAATGTTCAAACACGATTGTACATCACTCCTTCTGTATAGGACCAGGATGGCTGCCGAAAGGTGGCAAATCCAACCATTCAGGCCAGGTGTTCAAATTAGAAAAAGATATATTCACCCACCATGTGTGTTGAAAATCTATATATATTGTGCTCAGGCGGACTCTCAGAAGGATGATGAAGCCGAGATGACGGTTGAGGCTGTTGAGGCCTGTTTTCGCAGTAGCAGTCGTCGTCTGGGTACTCATTGCTTATATATGCATCCCTATGTTCCTTCCACTTGTGGTTGAGAGGCTGAAACTTGCCACATCCCCGCTAATCTTAACGGATGAGTCCACCATAGTCCACCAATTCAGGATTCACACCACTGCGGCCAGGAACTTGGCTTGGAAGCTGTCCATGAGCATTCTCTAGAACATCGTCGTCAAGCTGTGAAGGCAACACCGGAACTTGCTTTGAACATTAATGTCAAGACGTGAAGGCCACACCAGATTTGTTTTTGGAAATTATGGTTTAAGGCTTGGTTTTTTACAGCATATTCACAAGCAACTCGGGTTGTTGACAGGAGCGAGCTCCTCTTCTTCCTGGTGCACCAAAAAATGAATGCTGGTCTGCAGGAGTGGAATGTCATTATTTATGAGGCGAACAAGTTCAAAGCACAAACGAAAGAGCAGAGTGAAAATTGCTAGGGCCATCTTTGCTAGAAAACCACTTTTGGCATGGACTTGGCCCCAAGTAATTGTTGGCCCTTCTAATGTGGAAACTACCAAAAGACAAAGCCCAGATCCAAAGCACAAAAACCCAAGAGCTTGCACTCCGTTTCAACTGCAACTCACACGTTTCCTTTCTTCCACAACCATGTCGATGCCAGGAGCAAGTGAACGCCATGATTGGTGCAAATGGGATTGGCCCAGAAGATCCTGACATGGTCGGTGCTGTGGCCAAGGTGAGTCAGTGATGCATGTGTTTGTGTGTTGGTCGTCAATATTGTTGAAAATCCTGACGAAGCGTTTGGCCGGTATTGGTTTCGCAATTATATGTGGATGGGCCTCACTCTTTACAATTTTTCTTTTGTAGGTCAAGGCATCAGCCCGTGAAGAGCATCTTGAGAAAGTCCAGGCAAAGGCCAAAGGTAAGGGCAGGAAGAGGGGAAAGCAACCTCAAGTTCCACCGTCACCGCCGCGCGGCACGAAGAAGGCCAAAGGACAGGAAATTCCCAATGGTGCACCAGCTGTTGCCTCTAGTTCTGCAGCAGGCAGCAGTTCTGGTGATGGCAGTGGGGGGGAAGGATCAGGGACTTGAGGAGACAGGAGCTGGAGCACGTGAGAAGGTTGAGCCTTCTGGGGAAGCGGAGGGATCGAAGAAGTCCAAGCGGAAAACTACAGAGGAAGTCCAAGAAACATGGAACTCGAAGGATTGGTTGACTGTCACTTTTTGAGTTTTGCTGAAGCATCACACCCCCCCCCCAGATTCTTCTATACCCTCAA